TCCCAGAATCACTGTCATTGAACCCTGATAGGACACGTGGTTGCTAATAAAATGCATCATAAATGAGGATTTTTTTAAACTTGTCCTGGTTTCTTCTTGTGCCAGTGTAAGCAAATGTTAATATCCTGACTTTCCAGGAAAGTGAGTCTGTCATAGAGATGTTAACAGGGAAGATGGTAACTTGTTCATCAGGATGTCGCATCTTCCACCTTAGATTAGAAAATAAAAAGCAAAGTACCCCCAAATGTGTAATATTCCTACTTGATTTTCCTCAAGCACAAATGACCACTTTGAAGGGAGAAATCCCAGAGTTGACTCTTCATACGTAGAACCCACAGCAATAGTAGCCTGAGGAATTTAGTGGAAATCCTCGTGCATATTCTGTGTATTGATTTAACTGACATCTGCACAGGATGTGATCAGCTTATTCAAGACCTACTCAGGCAGTATGCTGTGCTCTGAACACATGCAAATCAGCAGGGATTGGGAGGAGCTGAGCATAAAATTCATCAGTGTATATTGCACAGCCATCATGAATTTCATGGTATACTGCAAGTTTTCATATGCTTTATTCCTCAGCCATAGGCATCTTCTACCTTTTGATATGAACCCTGAAAAATTGAGGCAAGAGATTAAAATAGTCAGAGAAGCTTTAACCTATTTTGTTCTCTGAGTCAAATTTGTATTAATCATCCCAGGGACTTGTATCAAATTGTCAACATTTGTACTATAAATGGGATGTAATCTCTTATAGTTTTAAAGAGAAGATACATCGAGTCATGTTCAATAAGTCAAGATCAAGATGTTGGTAGTGGGAGAGAGAGAGGTTTTATAATAATTTATTTATTCTTTTAAATTTCATTTTACATTCCAACCACTGTTCTTCCTCCAAACCCTTCTCTATATCCCTTTGCCTTCCCACTAGCTCATCCACAGTCCATTCATCATCATGGGTAAGAGCTCCCATGAGGAGTAAACAAAGTCTTGAAGGATAGGTTGGGGCAGGACCAATCTCCTGTCTCATGCACTGAATCTGAGCATGGTATCCAACCATAGGAAATGGGCTCCAACAAGCAAACTGACATACAAAATTTGTATCCTGGTCCTACTGCCAGGGTCCCTTCAGATAGTTCAAACTTCATAACTGTCGGCCACATACAGAGGGAAACAGGGGTTTTAATGGAAACATTCCCACATTGATTCTTCTAGGCTCTGTAATTCTTAGTTCTTTCCCTCATAGCAACCTGTTCTCTCTTCCCTCTATCATCCCTTTTGTCACTATTTGTCTTTCTTCCCCAGAAGCCAATTACAATTTCTTTGCTTCTTGTGAGAGTACACACCAGGGTGTAATGCCCAGATTGCCTCTGTGAGAGGATAGTTATGGCTTTACATGAAGACCTGCTCTGTCCCCATTGACCTTTTAACATGTAGAAAAAGGACACAGCCAGATCAAATTTTGAATCATTTGGACATTAGCACTGTCTACAAACAACAACCAAAGCAAAGAAAACCTCTTAGTTTGTTTAAGCTGTTTTTCATTCTGTTGAGAATTTCATACATGCATGTACTACATTTTGACCAAGGTATACAATGTATATTTATGAAAATGTAAATATTGACCTCCATTTATCTTGTATAGTTTAAAATGTCTTTTGGTCTTTCGGTGGACAGGCCCTTGGATTTCCCTAGGAAGTGGAAATAGAGTAGATTTTTGAGGGTGGACTGGAGGTGGGTGAGGTTGGGAACAGAAATGATCAGGTGGGAATGGAAGGAGAATATTAGAAGAGAAAACCCTGAAAAAGGGAGCGCATTACTGTGCACAGCATTAACACAGTGCAGTGGGAATTCAAAGGGATGTACAAGAATAACCCTAGCTAAGATTCTTAGCAATAGGGAATACGTAGCCTAAGGTGGACATCTCCGGTAACCAGGCAAGTATTCCATTGGAAGGACTGGGACATCTACCCAGACACACAACCTTCAACCAACAGTTTGTCCTGGGTAAGTATGGCACAGAAAATGTGCAAGTGACCAACCAATGACAGAGGCAGTCTGAGAACAACACCAAGAGTGGGAACCCACCACTCATACTACATGGAGGGCTAGGACCCTGAAGTTGGATAGCCCAGAGACATAGGATAGAATCAACTATCAAACATGACTGGCAAAAAAATAAATAAAGAAGTTAATGTAGGCCTGAGGTTATTCTGCTATATCTATTTATTGCTGCCCAGTCCAAATGTCATTAGATATGCTTCATCAAGTAATTAAAGGAAAAAGATGCAGAAACCCCCAGCCAACTTTAAGAGAAGCACAGGGAATCCTGAGGAAGATTGGGAGAAAGGATTGTAAGACCTGGAGGAGTCAAGGACACCAAAAGAAAATACACAAGGAAACTAACCAGGAGTCCTAGGGACTCACAGACACTGAGCCATCAACTAGGAAGCCTGCTAGAGCCTGATCTGCTAGATCTATACATGTTACAATTGTGTAGCTTGGTCTTCTTGTGGGACTACGCACAGTAGGAGGAGGGCTGGTCTCTGACTCCTTTGCAGGCTATAGGAACCCTATTCCTCATACTGAGTTGCCTTGTATAGCTTTAGTACTAAGAGGAAGTGCCTAGGCTTAATCCAGTTTGATATTCCATATTTGATTGATGTCCATGGGAGGCCTGCCTTTTTCTGGAAAGAAATGAAGGAAATATGGATGCAAAGTGAAGAGGTGACATGGGGGAGGGCCTGCGAGGAGAGGAGGGAGGGAAAACTGTGGCTGATTGAAATAATATTAATAACAAGAACAATAATCAATCACTAAAAATAAAAAGTAAAAATTTCTTTAAAAATTTTTTGAGAATGTCATACTTGCATATACTATGTTTTGACCAAAGTACACAATATATATTTATGAAAATTTAATAGTGGATCACCTTTCTTTTGTACAGTTTAGAAATGTTTCCTCATCTTCAAAGGGTCATTTATTTCATTGACTTGTGTTGGAAAAGGTTGCTCTTTAATTCAAGAATAAACCAGTTCTTCTGTCCTTCTTTGAAAACTTTTTATTCAATTAGAATAGATGGTGAGACATCAATGAATAAAAAAACCCAATTGTTGTCAGTGTGAAAATGACTAAATTTCAGCACATCACATAAGTGCTTAGTGGTTTTGTTTTGTTTTATTTTTGATTTTTTGCTTTGTTTTTTGTTTGTTTGTTTTTTGTGACTGACAAATTTTGATTATATTGGCATTTATGTTAGAAGCACAAAACAAGATTAGTAAGTAAGTTTTTTTCAGATACTCCTATAAAAAAGTCTGCAGAAGAAAACCAAACTGAATGAAGACTAAGAGGGCCTAATATATATGAAGTGCCTGAGTGCCACAGGGCATGACATTTTGTAGATACATATGTAGAAACATAAGTTTTCAGAATGTATGAGTATTAGATATGTTAAATGCACTGCATGGTTGATATTAATAACTAGAACTCTCCATTATCCTTGAGAATAGGAAAGTCCTTGATGACTTTTGATATATAACTTTTAGTGGATTCAGAGAACAAAGCCATATCACAGCAGGATCATCAGTTGAGCGACTATTAAGCAAGGGGTGACAACACATACTAAAGAATTCATATAGAAGCCATTCTGTGAAAAGGTAAATGGAAAAGACACTCTGGGGTCACAGGGAAGCATGTCCACCTCAAGGCTGGAGACATACAGCTGTCCACATGTAATTAAATATACATACAATGATAGGAGTGACCTATGAAACAGAGAAAAGGGGACAAAGAGGAGAGAGAAAGAAAAGTAGCAGAATGGATATGAGGAACAAATGATAAAACAAGGTCTCTGAGTGAAAATTCAATAGGGGAGTAAGATATGAAAGAGAGAGTTTTAAGTATAAAAAATGCTCTGGGGTTAAGGTGGATTTTTGTTTTTGCAGAAATCTGAAGATAAGTTAGGTGGCTCACAACTACATATAATTCTAGCCTCATGGTATCTGACACCCTTTAAGAAATATTTCGATGTGTTTATATGAGAATTGATTTTCTATACATATCATAGCTCAATGATAGGATAAATTATTTAAGGTACAATATGACAATGACATTAGTTAAAATATAGAAGCCAACAAATTAAACACATCAATCAGATATAGATGTCTGTCAAAATGTAGACCATTGTTAGTGCATGTTAATTATAGAATGTTTTATCTCATTTCTATCAAGCTGATTAAAAGTAAATAAATGACCTTTTCACACATTTCAATTTCAATGCTACTATCTATTTATGGAAATGAGAGAGTTATATTTTATATTATCAGGAATATTGGTATGTTAAATTGCATTACAAAAATATTCCATGCAAATTTTCACTTTCTATTCACTATATGACTTAGATAAGGCTGTTTTTTCTGTTTTTTTAACTGTGATCTTAGAACGACTCATAATACCTCAAAAAATACATACACATATTACGAATCTATCCCTTGTCAGTCATTATCTGAAAATTCAATAACATCAACAATACTATGTTTCCTGTTGTCAACACCCAGAGATATTCCTAAACTTCTGAATAGGTCTGAGTATAACACGTTTATAAAGCCTAGATATGCCTATTAGAAATCTCTGTAATCTGAAAGAGCTGTTGAGAATATATTTATCTACTTCAATGAATACAGGAGCCAGTATGCAAGTCAGTTAATGGATATTATTCTTATTCTACCTCTTTGATTACTTACAGTTTCTTCATTTTTACTTTATGCATTCCCAATTGCTGCTGATATCCAGATGGATCCGCTGGATAGACTTTAGTTCTTATACATTAATTGTATGCATTGTCTTGCCTCTAAAATTGTACTGATAAAATGGAGAGTTGGATGCAGAACAACCTTCCTGTTCCATCACAGAAGCCTCCATGTGGTCATGAGAGCTTGTGTGCATTTGATACAAGCTGTCAGCAAGCAAAAGAGGATCTGGGACAGTTTATACTCTCACTTTTGATTTTATGAGTGGTGGTTTTTGTCAATGTTTGTATCACTGTGGTACAAGTTAGCACCTTGCTGACAGTAATAAGTTGCAATATCTTCAGGCTCCAGGTTGGTGATGGAAAAGGAATAATCTGTCCCAGACCCACTGCCACTGAACCTTGAGGGAACTCCTGATTGCAAAGTGGATGCGTAATAGATCAGGAGCTTAAGAGCTTCCCCTGGTTTCTGTTGGTACCAAGCCATATACTTGCTAATATCCTGGCTTGTTCTACAAGTGATGGTGACTCTGTCTCCCAAAGATGCAGACAAGGAGGTTGGAGACTGGGTAACTTGGATGTCACATCTGGCATCTGAATATGGAAAATTAAAAGCAGACACCCATGCAATTTATATTAACGTGGAAGGATTACCCGGCAAAGACAAGCAACAATAATCACAGTGTTTTGATAAATTTCTCAAGGTCAATCCTCCTTACTTGTGAGCCAGAGCATCACCAGGACCAGGAATGGAGCAGATGTCCTCATGTCCATGCTGTGGCACGTGTGATCCAGATAGACTCCACTGAAGGGTTTGACCATCACTTTAAAATATACTCAATGGGCTCTGCTGTGGCCACATGCAAATGATCAGGATCTGGGCATAGCTGAGTACTGGTGCAGAAGTAGCTCCTCTCTCTGAAATTGCATGGTCTCTAAGAGTCCTCATTTCAACCACAGCACAGAGAATATTCTTTCTGTATTCTATGAGTATGTAATGTTTTTCCTTGGCCTCATCTAAGAAACTGGAATAAGTTTTTAAGTTCCTATCATTTGGCACTTTTAATTATTACTGATATCAGAGAGGATTCTTCTTGAATACAATTAGTTCATAGTCTTAGCATGAAGTAGATGTGTGAAGCAGTCCTAAGCAACGCACTTTATAAGGATGGATGGAGACTTTGGTTCTTAAGTGGTATTCGTTTAGTAACTGTTTTGCTATTAAAGGATCCTTTGCCCCATTCCTTCTACCATTTGTATCTAATATCAGGTATAATCTGTCATTTCTTCAGAAACAAGTGATCTGCGATCATAACTCTGATTTTAATTAAGCATATCCATACATATTTGTCTCTACATCCTTGATGATAATGGTTTATTTCTACTCTCTCTCTCTCTTTGGTTTTTCAAGACAGGGTTGCTCTGTGGCTTTAGATGCTTTCCTGGATCTAGCTCTTGTGGATCAGGGTGGTCTCAAACTCACATTGATCAGCCTGCCTCTGACTCCCAAGTGCTGGGATTAAAGTTGTGGGCCACCACCTCTCAGCTATTTCTACTCTCTTAATCCAAGCCATTGTTTTTAAATTTTGAGGGCTTTCCCTTTCCAATTAGTCATTTCCTATTTTGAATCTATTGTGCTCATTAAAATTGCATATCTAAAGCAAAAATTCTAATCAAGATGTTGAGAGAAATCATATTTAAATGGCTGGTTAGAAAATGCATAGATTTTACATTAATTGCCTGTTATATTTTTACCTACAATAAAGATTTTCAATATGGTTGCAGAAGTTATATTCAGTTGTATTTCCAAAATTATAAATAGAAATCACTCACATTATATTTAATAAAAGAAAGGTAAACACTATTTATTTTAAATTTAGAATACAATGATTTTAAGTCCATATATCTCTTTTAAGTCACTCCCCTGTCCATGAAATCACCCATATCCATCTATTGCTCAAGAGGAGAAAAAAGCATGGAGCAGGTAACCTATTGTTCTTTAGAGGATTTAGCACATGCTAAAATTTTTTCTGCTATGAGTAGAAGTTTAATATAAAACATGAGACAGCAAAGTAGATGTAGGGATGCTTAGTTTGGAATGTTATAAATGTGAACATAGGACAGGAATATGGCATTTAACTAGGTAGATGAACATAAACCCAACTTTATATTTTTTAATATGCCCTAAGAAAGTCCACTGCCTTATGTGGTAATTAAATATTTAAATGACAATAACATTGAAATAAGCTGTGTTTGCCTATTACTGAGAGTTTGTATATTTTTCCTAGGAATAATTTTTCCATAGCTGACATAGGTAAATATAGATTATAGTTTCTGTCCCACATAGTCCCATAGCTCTTTAGTCCCAAATAAACCCACTAAGGCTTATATTATTTATGAACACTTTGGCCAATGGCTCAGTCTTCTTATTGGTTAGCTCTTTCTTAATTAGTAAACCATTTCTATTAATCTGTGCATCTCTACATTATCTTGGCTTACTGGTGATATCCAGGTCTCGGTATCTCTATGGCTTCTCTTTCATTCCACCTAATTCCTTTTTCCATCCCTTTTAGGATTTACCACGTGGATAAATCCTAACTGTCCATTAGCCAAAACAGTTTTATTCATCAACCAATAAGAAATACATATATTCACAGTATACATATTGATAACCCCCATCAATAACTGTTAATGTGCAGATTATTTTTAATTTACTTCTTTAAATATAAAAATAGTATTAAATATTTTATATTTACATTTTCATACTATCAAAGCAAAATTGATCTTATGAGATCTCATTGAAGTGTTTGATAAATAAAGCATTAATCATAGAAATAAATTACTTAATATGTAATTATATGTAAATAGATGCATAAATAAATGAGAAATTGTGATATGTTCATACAGAAAATAGATTGTTCTACCTTTTTGTGTGTAACCCTTACTATACATAGATTAAAAATATGTTTGTCTGAAATATAGTGGCATGGTAACTAAAACACCCACAATGAAATAGCCATGTTAACCTAAATGCTGAAGTAAATATACAAGTCATCAAATAAGACTTATGGCTTTGTACTTTTCCTCTTTTCTCTTATGACTTAAAAACATAAACACATGTCAATTAGTTGTAAACCTACCTTGACAGTCACACAAATGCAATTTGCAAGGGAATATATAAGGGGAAGTATTGCAATTTTGCCATATCATATACAGCACAGGCATGTAAGGAGGAGATGAAAAGGAATGAACATATAAGAAGGAAAATAAATAACATGAAAATACAAATACATTTGTATTCATAATTTTTAAAATATGGAAACTAAATCTTAAAAACTAGATTAAAAGATGATAAGGGGATACAGGGCTTAAGCTATAAAAATAATACTTAAATTGGTTCAAAACAACTTCTAAACATTCATCAAGAAGAGAAAGGATTCAATTAAAAGATATGTGAAACATTCTCCCTAATATATCCACGCACAAAACAACTGACTTCTGTATAGTGATAAAGCTTATTCTGCATTAGGGATGTTAATTTATTTGTGTCCTTTTCCACAATCTATCTCAACACTTCTGTATCCCTTGTAGCTCCTGACACAACACAACTCCTAGCAACAGGGACGTGAGCCTCTTCTGGGTAAACAGAGATATGTGTGCTACAGTAAAGAGGGAAGTCCTGTGGGGTAGTTTCAGTCAAATTGGTGTCCAACAAGAGACCTTTAATGGCATTTTGTGTTTTGGGTATAATCTTGATGACTAAGAAGGGTAGGTTGAGGACAACATTTCTGTGGTGGACCTGTGCAAAATTCAGACCCAGCCAGAGTTTTGAGGTACAATATTAACTATCTCAGCAAAGAGTTATCTGAGTAGAAAAGCTTTAAGATAGTCTTTTCTAAATAAATATCAAAATAGGAAATGGAGGGTGCGTCTAGGAGAAGTTGAGAGAAGATATGGGAACTTAATTTAGTGATGATATATTGTGTGACATTCTCTAGGAATTAATAAAAATATTATTTTATTTTTAAACTTATGCAATAGCAAAGATTGGAAAGAAGGAAAAAGACTTAGAGACCCCACTAAAGAGACCATGAATCATCTAAGCTAAGCAGAGAACTCAAAATACAGCAACCCTGGTGATATCACACTTACCTTCTCAAAGTGAGAAAAAATTATTGTCTGGCACTTAAGCTATTGATTATGTGTTACTTCCTCTTGAAGTCCTTTGAAACTGTTCTATTTCAGACTTACCAGAATTAAATTATCAGGAAGAAAAAAAGATTACAAACAAGTTTCGTTTTCATTCTATAAAGTAACTGCTCTTCAGTGTTCAAAACTTACAAGAATGGAAAAGTCTCAAAAATAATAAGAACTGTTTCAGAATTGAGGATAAAAAGATGCATGGCACTAACAACAACCTGAGTGTCTCAAACATTTTAGTTAAAATGCCCTTGAAAAATTGTAAACCAATGCCTAATTCCTGATTACATGACTATAATAGTTTTATGGGTGAAATGAATCAAAAGGTCATAATTCATATAATCATGAATTGGAGTTACAGCTCCAAAATTAAAAGCAATTTTTTTGCTCATATAGATGACACAAGTTCAATTTCCAGCAGCCTTGTGATGGAATGATCCAGGAGACTTGATGACCTGCTAGGATATCCACAGGCAAAAACGATATGTAGTATATACACATGCATATATGTAAAACATTGGCACATAAAATAAAAATGCATAAATATTATAATCTTTAAATAAAAATATATGTCCTAGACATCATGTTTCAATATCAAGAAATAAAAATAGATAGATGTCATTTGTTTTGTATATGAAATTCCATCAGAATTTAAAAAGAAAATTAATTGCCCCCAAGCATTAAAAAGAGGCTTTTTTATTGATTTGTGTTATATGTTGGTAGAAATAATAATGACCCACCAATTTTTGCTATGTTCATTCGAACTTGCTCCCAATGGAGATTTGGTCTTCAGGACTATATTGTTAAAAGATGATAGACCGTTTCTGAGATGGGGTCAATGAAGGTGATTAAAGCAGTGGAGCCATTACATTTAGAAGTGATTGCTGTGATGAGAGTGGTGGAAATCATCAGCCTGTTCGTCCACTTCCAGTCTCTGTCTCTCTCTGTCTCTCTCTGTCTCTGTCTCTGTCTCTGTCTCTGTCTCTCTCTCTCTCTCTCTCTCTCTCTCTCTCTCTCTCTCTCTCCTTATAACCATTGTTTTCCAAAAGCACACTCATCATTTTCAAAGGCATATTTTGCCACACACAGAGAAATTTCGGCACTACTTAAATGCATTCGACGGCACATTTCTCAATCCTGTGCTTCTCAAACATAGCCAAATACATCCATTATCTTGTAAAGCACATTGTATTGACTAGTTTGTTATAATAACCATTTCTTTTTGGATCAAGTGATTTACTGCATAAACTCAAAGGTGACATATATTTACTAAATTACATTCCATGAACATATGTGTAAATTTCCAAAAATCAAATGAACTAGGTTTCTTTTGTGTGAGTGCCCTCACAGGGAACCTTAATTCTTAGTTTGGAATATACAAATTTAACCTATACTCACTGTGAACTGACTTTGTACACTTAAGATCATCCTGGCAAAATGTATGGCATGTACTACCAGAGTAAATTGACATTTTATATCTGGGGACATAAACTGTGAAGCTTCATCAATGAGCTCCGTTAGGGAGAAAACATGGATAGGTGAGTGCACTAGATTATGAGTAGAACACAAAATGCCGAGTGTGGACAGTGAGATCCTACTAATAAAGCTTACTTTTGATCTCCATCTG